AAGAGTAAACATTAGAAAACCTATAAATATAATTCATGATACCAGCAAACCAAAGAAGAAAAACCATGTTTATATCAAGATGCCAGAGAAGTATGATAAAATTCAGCAATCATTTTTTCTAAATTCTAATTAATGGCAGTCACTATGGAAAACAGTATGGAGGTTCCTTAAAAAAACTAAAAATACAGTTACCATATGATCCAGCAACCCCACTCTTGGGCATATATCCAGAAAAGACAGAAATTCTAATTCAAAAAGATACATGTACCCCAATGTTCATAGCAGCACTGTATACAACAGTCAAGCCAGGGAGGCAATCTGTGTGACCACTAGGCTGTTGTGGAAATGACAGAAGGTGACGTCTGAGACTAGGTTGTAAAAGACACTGAGGCTCCCAAAGCTTGCTCTCTCTTGATCACTCTCCAGGGAAGCCAGCTGCCATGCTGGCAGGACATTCAAGCAGCCCTGCGGAGACAGTCCATGTGATGAGGAACTGAGACTGACGGCCACCCCAGGGAGCCACTACGAAAGACTGTCCAGCCGGCCAAGCCTTTAGACAAACCCTGGTTGACATCTTCGCTGAACCTCATGAGAACCTAACCCAATACCATCCAGCATCCAGCAAAGCTGCTGCCAGACTCCTGAGCCCCATAAACTACATGATATTTATTGCTTTAATTGTCATGTTTTGGGGTAACTTGTTACATAGATAATTAATACAGGGAGTGATGTAAACCAAGTCACCATTAGGAAGGTAAATCTACGAGGCCTGGGGAGAGAGGCTAGAAGCAGGGACTCTTTAGGAAGTGAGTCCAATGGCCCAAGCAAGAGGTATGAAGACATGTCTGTGCATAGCGAAAAGGATGAATGAGAGAAGCATGGAGGAAAAAGAAACACAAAAGGCAGGGGTAGGGAAGAGATTAGTTCTGCGTACTTGGAGCTTGGATGCCCTGATAGAAACAGGGACCAAGGGAGGAGCCAAAGGCTGGGAGAGAAACAGCGTTTAGAGGAACCTTCTAAGGTGCGAATACTCATTTATTTCCCCCCATTAAGAACCTGAGGCTCAGAAAGGTTCGGTGACGGGGTTGATGTCCTAGAGCTAAGACTCAAATCCAGATCATGGTACTTCAAGTCCTGCAGTCTTTGCATTGGGACACAGAAAGTTTGAAGTCCAGTGGACAATGTCCACTAGGGAGGTAAAAATCTGAACCTAAAACCCTCGGCGAGAGAACAGTGCTAAAGACATAGATGTTTACCGTCATCTAGGGAGGTGGAAGTAAAGCTACAGTAAGAGATTATCAAGAGACAGAGAACAGAGAGCATGAAAGTCATAAAAAAGGGAGCATGGACAATGCAGCTCATTAAAATCACCTTTCAAAAAAAAAAATCACCTTTCTACTATGAGTTTGGTCAGAATGGGCTCTTCATACTGGGTGGTATCTTCATTCTGCAGATCATCATTTTTGCACTCTCTCTTGAGTCCTGGTTCTTTGAGCTGCATGTCCAATGGTGGCACAGCACCTGGGGACATATCTTGCCCAGCAGCATTGCCATCTTGTTTGGAAAACTCTGTATAATCGGAGAGAGACGAGGGAGAGCAGGCCAACTTATCCCCTTTTTTATCTGCTCTTTTCTTTTCTTTCACCATTGCCTTTAGAAGACCTAAGGTTTGCTTTATATAGGTATCAAATGACTCCTTCGGTTGAAAGCTGTTTGTTTCAAGGCGCTGATGAGTTTTACCTGAAAAATAAAAATTATGTCTCGTTTTACAACCCCAATGTCATTATCATTCTCTTCCTACAGCCTGAAAAATTAATTACCAGTATCGAGTCTCACCAGTTTATAAAAATATTATTTCAATATTGCATTGGTTGTTTCCTAAAATTTTTTAAATTGGAACCACCATCTACCACTTCTTTTCAAATAGTGCTCCAGTAGGAAGAGCAATCCTGTGTGTGAAAAATACAGACTTAACCTCTAAAATCTTACATGCCACCAGTTCATACTTCAAAAGCTCGTCTCTTTGTGTGTCAGCATGGCAAGGTGCTCATGAGCTGCATTGCCCCTTCCCAGCTGTTACTTGAGGTCCTTCTGCTTCAGTTGTCAAACAGGAATAACAGCACCTCGTCTGGTTATAAGGATGAGATGATGCACAAAATCCCTAAGGATCAGACAGTGTGCACAATCAATAATGAAGTGATTATTTTTTCACTTTCTTGTTTTTGAACTTGAAATCATCGGCTACCTACTCCCTAGGACAGCACTGCCAGGGTCAAGCAAAAAATCTTGTGCTAATTATTTGCCCAAGGTCTTAGAGCTGAGGCACAGGGCTCCAAAGCCACAGTTTCTGTGGCCTTCCCAAACTGGCCCCACTGAAGACATCCCGGTGCATCAGGACGCACAGGTGAGTACCGGAGTGCAAGGCAAGGTCATGTCCGTCGCGGCGCAACCACGGCCACCGGCCTGGGACCCCGGGACCCCGCGGGGGCGCTCACCTCGCTGGGGACGCCGTGGGGCTCCACCAATCCCGGACGGAGGCGGCGCGGCGACCTGATCCTGCCGGTCTCCAGGCAACCGCAGGCCCCGCCCCGCTCTTAAAGGGGCCGCCGCGCGTGCTCAGCCCTTAAAGCAGAGCTCTGAAGCTGGAAGCACCTGACCAGGGTTTTCCCAGCTCTAATTGCCGCGCGCCCGAGGCCTCTCTCAGCCTTTATCTTCGCTGTAGCACTAGAATAACTCAGGTGTTACTTTTTCATTATGGCCCTAAACGAATTACCCCAAACTTAGTGGCTTAAAGCAACACAAGTTTATCAAACCAACAGGACTGGTTCCTTTGGCGGCTCCAGGGGAGAATCTATGTCCTTGCCTTTTCCAGTTTCTAGAGGCCGCTTTCCTCCATCTTCGAAATTAGCAACGTTCCTCTCTCTGGCCCAGCTGGGAAAAGTTCTCCACTTTTCAGAAGCCACGGGCTAGACCGGGCCCACCCAGCCAACCCAGGGTACTCGCCCCATCTCACCACCCTTCCCTTACTCACACCGGCAGAGCCCCTTGGCCACATAGAGCAGGTTTTCAAGGGTTCTGGGATGAGGACAGGTGGTCTCTGGGGAAGGCCTGCCTCCCACAAACCCCAATATGTGGAGTTCTTGCAAATATTAAATCTTTCGGACAGGTCCACCAGCGCAGTGCTTGCACAAGTGGCAATGATCATTACTTGACTGTCTCCTTACACCTAAGGAATTCTAAGTTTGTAAATGGAAGGAAGCCCACTGTCTGGGCAGAGAGGTCGAGAGCAGGGTGTGGGTGGGAGGCCCACACTGGCCACTGTACCCCAACTGCCATCTGGACCCCGCAAAGGGCATTTTTACTTCCATTTCTGGCAGAGTTCAAATGGGACGAAGACTCCATGAAAAACCATTTGACAACAGACAGGGATTCTTCTACCTCCAGTACCAGTCAGTAACTAGGCCATCTTGCAGTTCACACTCCCAGAAAACCAAATCACAGCATCAAAGTTACAGAAAAATCAAAGCCTTTTATTTCCCCTTTGCCTACAACGCTCTTTGCGACGCTGGCTGCAGCGGAGAACATTTAAAACTAGAGACCCCCAGGAGTGCCCTGGTGGCCTACTGGTTAGGATTCCGAGATTTTGCTGCCATGGTCTGGGTTCAATCCCTGATCGGGGAACTGAGATCCCGCAAGCAGCGCGGCGCAGCCAAAAACAACAAAAAAAACAAGAGACCTCACCCCACCTGGTCGATTTCTTCCAGCTGGACAGAGAATGTCCCTTGGGTATTTTTGGATGATCTTCTAAATTTAATATGCATCAGGGTTGAAAATGACTAACTCAAAAGGACCATAATTTTCAGTTTATGAAGTTAAACCATTATGGGCTTAATCATCATTAAGAGCTAAAAGTGGCAGGCTAAAATACGTCGGGCCCGAGCAGAAGTCTAGGTGACTTCCAAAGTGCTCTCTTTTTGTAAAACATACTCTTGCTGCTACACACCACACACACACACACACACACACACGTATGTTCAAATGTGAAACAAAAAATGTTGCAAGCAATGCTCCATATGGATTGAAAAAGTCCTCAAGATTACTTCTAAATGGACCTGATGCATTTTTAAGCAGCAGGTTCATTGAGAAACAAACCCTGAAATAGTTACTTAAAACCCTGCCTTGAAAAACAGAAAAATCTGCAATAAGATCAATAGCTCTTTAAAATGAGAAATGTTAGGGCTTCCCTGGTGGCGCAGTGGTAGAGAGTCCGCCTGCCGATGCAGGAGACACGGGTTCGTG